AGATAGAGGAATGTCGTTTTTGACAATCTTCCAGATCTTTGTTAAACATATTTATTCAGGAAGTACTGTTTTCAGACGTATGATCTTTTATCACACGATTATCTAGTTACTCCAAGACCATATTTCCAAGTAATATGAAGAATGCTAGTATATAAGGGATACCAATTAAACTTTTAGTTGCGTAATCGGGGACGCGATTTTTAAGTTCGTTGTAGGCCAACCATGGACATATTCGGCGCCCAGCTGACTAACTGGAATTTAAATTTCCCGCTAGGGATTCAGGTGGTAACTCTGCTGTAAAAAATGTCAAGTGGCCCCCACATCACATTTATTTATTTCTTTCCTGACACTATCATTCGTTTTGACACTTTAGTTTTGTATTGCGAGCTGATGGTTTAAATGAATTGTGTTGTGATAATTTAAGCTTAAAAACGTTTACTAGCAGACCTTGCAGTCGAACATCGCTCTTTTTAGAACCTCTTGGTGTACAAGATAACTTAATAGTCGATGCAAAAAACTCATCGCAACTTTATTAGAATATTTTGAACGGGAAAGCGGTAGTAATGGCCCTTTGTGTCCTTTAAGTGCTGTTAAGGAGGTGAGTTAATGTAAATAATAACTGTTTATATATTTATAATTAATTTATTTTTGTTTCCTAAAATATTTTGATTAAAAGAAAATATGTAAAAGTGGGCAACGCTGTGCCGGTCAAGCTTAATCACGTGACTAAAAGTTTAATTGGTATGAACTATATATTCCATTGTATCCTTCAGTGATCATCCTAGCTGGATGCTCACTATGCTTAAACTTGTCTTGGATAAGAACCCTTCTTTTTGAATTTTTACACATCTATCTTGAACATCTTTTGTTTTCTTCCAACCTTCTTAATTTGAACTGACCCATCAAAAAGATTACATCCTCGATTACATCACTACTTAGGCCTCATTGTACCTAAAGACACATCATAAATCGGAAGTCATACATCGTCTAGCGTCTAGCCTACCTCATTTAATCTCTTAGAATGGGCTATCTCATTGAACTAAGGTCTGAACAGTCCTTTAGCATACGTTGAACTATCTCATCTTCCTGGTAACATCTCCTGCAGAGTGACGTCTCACTTAATTTCATTTTGTGAACTGGTAATTAGAATTTCAATTACTGTTCGAAAACTGTTCTGAAAACATCACTGTTGCTTCTTTATCACAGTACTGCAAAATTTCTTTAGTCCAGTTGCAATAGTTTATTCATAATCTCATCCAGTAATCCTTCCAAGTCTTAGAGGATGATGAGTTTGTCTATCTTTAATCATATTACTCACTTATTTCTTACGAAAAATTGATCTATACACTATTGTGGTCAATTCGAAAGCTTTGTTTATTTAAGATGATGTCTCCCCTCCATTTGCAATCATTTCATTTTGCTTTTGCTTGTTTTCCAATGTCCTAGATCTCCTATCTTAGACTAGGGCGTCTTCTCGGTGCATTCTTTTTACACCTACTGTGATAATTTTGGTAGTTTATCTTTGGTTGGTCTTCATTAGGTGATCTGCTCGTTGGCATTTGAGGAATTTCGTGATGTATATCCAATTCTTTGTTATACCACACATACATTTGCGCTACCTGGAGAACCTAAAAGAACTCATTAATAGACATTTTTTTCCAAAATTCCAAGCAAAAACACTATTTCGTTGGATATTCCCCTCTTTTCTTTTGTGATTCGATCACCCACAGCACCAAATACAGGAACAAGAGATTCCTAGGAATTCGCGATATTCTAAAGAGCTTGGACATTGTTTAGAATTCATCAGGAAACTCTAGGTAGTTCAAGGGCTACGGAGCGATGTATGCTAGGAATAAGAAAAGAGGATAGAGTAGATGAGACAGAAGATCCAGATAACAGACGTGACCTTCATAACTAAATCCCTCATATCATGGTAATGAGCAGGTCACCTGGCAAGAAGGACAAGCAAAAAATAGAGTACCAAAATAACATAATGGCACAAAAAGACTAAGAAGACGCTCTAATCTAAATTAGGACTACAACATTAGTACACAAGATATAACAAAACTAAAGAAGAATATACAAGAAGGCAGAACAGTAAAATAAAGCTGAAAATGATTGACTAGGATGATATTATCCTGTTAAATTTATTATCGAAATTCATAAATGATAATATTATTTTGGTAAATCTGGTTAGTCCAAATATTAGGAAAAACAAAGAAAGAAATACCTAAAGCGACCATTATTAAAAATGATAATAAATTAAATAAAGAACAATAATTAGATTTCTGTTGAGACTGATTTAAATTCAAATCATGATCTGCAGTAACACGGTATCCGTAGTGCAAGTGAACGACTAAATCCACGGAAAACTTTAAAATCGATAGAGCTATCAAGGAAAAGCAACTTTCCAAGAGTGAATGAAACGAGATAGAGACAGAGAGAGAACACAGACAGCCATTGTTTCGACAATAGGCTAGGAACTATGAATCCAACCAACACGAAGGGAAGCAAATGACAGTAATAATCAACTTACCCTCTATCAAACGCCGATTCAAGAGGACAAACAAACTCACTAATAGACACTTTTCCCAAGTTTTCGAGCAACAACACAATCCGGCTTCATTGGATCTTCCCCTCTCTTCTTGTTTGAATCGATCACGCACTCGCGAGACGTACCCACGACACAGTGGTATTCCAAAAATAAGGGGTGTGAAGTTTTGAGTCAGAAAACAAACGGTTTGACAATAATTATTAATTGGTAGTCGCGCTAACGCAGAGCTGCAATGGCCGCCCCGATTCCTGAAAATCTGCCGTGGCGGCGCGATCGCAGGGCCCTGCTGCTGCTGTTGGCGAAGAGCGCGATATAGGCGAGGGACGCGGGGGGTGCGGGGGGAACAAGACTGGCGAGCGGTGTAGAGTCGCGGTTCGAGCAGCGTTGCCGGAACTAACGGTTTGTCGGTAGATTCAATTATTTTCTGTACAGGGATGAAATTTGGGTTAAAATTAGTCGATATAAAACGATTTTGGTTGTTGTCTTATACCCAATTTCCAGCCTATGCTATTCATACAATCCTCTGTTAAAGGTTTTATCGCTCATAGACATCTGGACGCTTTATTGTCAAAAAATTTAAGTTCTTTTTAATTTTTTAAAGTAAACAAACAAACAAACAAAAGAAAATACAAAACATTATACAAATTACCTTGTCAGTCTTATTGTTTAAAATAAACATTTATAAATGTTTACAATGTCAAAGAATAAAAAAATTAAAATAAGATTCAAAAATATTTAGTAAGTTTATAGTAAATATCAACGAACTCTAAATAAATGTATTTCGATGTCATTGGTAAACATAGTAATAGCAAACATTAGACCAGTGTTTACAAGATCAAATTCGATTATCAAAATATAAGTCATTTAAGGCGTAGAAAGCCTTGTCTAGCAAATAAGATTTCAATGCTTTGCGAAATGAAGAAAATGATGTTATGGATTTGATTTGAAATGGCAGGTGATTGTGAATTTTTTTCGAGTTGTATAATATTGAACTTTACTATGGATGTGACTAACTTTACTCTATGGATGTGAAACATGGCGACTCACTGAAAGGAATAAAAGGAAATTAGAGACAACAGAAATGGACGCGATTAGAAGAGCAATGAGAATTTCACGGAGGGATAAGATCAGAAATGAAGACATTAGACAACAGATGGGAATAGAGGGAACAATAGTAAATGATATAGAACAAAAACAATTAATATGGTACGGCCATGTTCAGAGAATGCACAATGAAAGAATTCCAAAACAAGTCATTCATTGGATACCACCTAGTAAACGAAAGAGAGGACGTCCCAAGAAAACATGGATGGAAGGAATAAGAAGGTCGATGAGCGAGAAAAATGTGACCGAAGATCAATGGGAAAATCGCACAGGGTGGAAGTTAGGCATCGGACAACGTCGTAGGACGTTCTGACCCGAATTTATATATATAATATTGAACTTTTAACTAACTCTGAGCGTGGGGTAGGTAGATAAAAATCTTGCTCCGCGTTCCTGAGTGGATAAGTGTGAGATGGCCTTTCTTGAGAAGCTGATACATGCTTACGTATTAGGCAAACGGATTCAAATATAAATAAGGAAGGAAGAGTTAATATTTTTAACTTTTTAAAAAAGCCCTGGCAATGAGTTTTGCTGTTTAGTCCCAGTGAATATCGAACAGCTTTCTTCTGGAGCTTGAAAATGCGGTCAAATTGAGTCGCACAACACGTACTAGCCACTGACAAGTTAAGCTCCTTAGAAACAGATCTTAATGCAAAACAGGCAGAGCTCAATTTTTTCGACAAAGCGTCGATATGCATGTCCCATTTCAGAGAATTGTCTACAACAAGCCTTAAGAATTTTACAAATTTTACGACGTCAATGGTGGTTTTAGAAGCAGTAGTGGCTCATTAGCATATTTGGAAAAAGCATTTTTTACGAATAATTAGGTACCACCCACTTGGTATTTCGAGTTAAATTGTCGTTATTCAATAATACATACTATTTCAAATAAACCATACCCGAAAATATCGAAATTGTGTCATATGACATATGTTATTCTATTCAGAGTGTCATTTTCTCTCGAATAAAGTAAAAAAATACCGAAGGTGCCATTTAAAAATCAAAAGTTGTAGTCATTTCCGGTGAAACAGGAAGTGACCGAAACAATGGAATACGTCAATCAATCCTATTTTATGTCATATATTAACATACCAAATCTCGTAGGCGGTATAAAAATATTTTTAGAGTTTCAGTACGGTAAAAAATGTTAAAATATGTAAAGGTTTGTTTGTTTTATGATGCAGTATGAAATAATAACTATTAACATTCATTGTAGCTTCGGAGCATAACGGGGCTAATATTAAAAGGTTAAAATTAAGTAACCATAAAACAGCTTTATATTTTTCGCTGCGTCTGCTCTGGCAACCCTGCCCAGAAGCCGATATCAACGCAAGCGCGGTACAGCGCGTAAAAATCGTCTAGCCTGGCCGAAACGCGTCGCATGTCGCATGTGAATCAGCAATCGGCGGCCATTTATCTTCCTTATTTCCTCGAACGAAGCACAAGTAAAAAATGCAGAAAAGAGGTTATCCTCGTGTTTGTCTTACGTCAGACAAAAGTTGTGCATTAACAGCAGGTAAGACTTATTATTTTTCATTCATTTTGGGTTTAATTTATGTATTTGGAACACATATTTAGTGTGAGGTTAATATTGTAGGTATAATAATATAAACACGTGCTCCTCTGAATTTATTTTTATTGTGTTTATAGTGATCCATTATGATTTTCTCTATAGGTAATTATGTAATTTCCGTTTGTATTTGTTTTTATGGTATATAGATTGCATGACTAGTGTCAATGGTGTTATTTAGTTGTTTTGTTTGTACAGAGTGTAAATTTGTAAATAAACAAGTGCCAAAAAAAGGTAATTATTGGGAAAAGTGGAAATCGTCCGATTTTCACCAAAATTGGTATAGACCCTATTTGGAGGTCGTATAGATTACGAATCTGAAGAATTTTTTCTTAGCGGTCTCTTACCGTTTTTCAGAAAAACGAAAAATAATTTCAACATAGAATTTTTCTTTATTTCGGCCCTATAAAGTAATAATTTCACTATATTTTCATTATAGTTTATCTAAAAGCCACACTTGAATAGGGATAGAAAAACGTCCAAAATTTTACTGAAAAACACTTTTAATAAAATAGCAAAGAAAATTGAGACCAGATGGAAGTTTGACATTTTATATATCCTTCTTTCTCTCTCCTATGTAATGAGAGAGCCCTAATTCTAGACCTAATCTAGAAATTTGAAAATTTACAACGTTGCCATATCTTCTATTTTTTTCGGGTGATTAGAGATTTTAAATAAATTACCTATTTTGAGATCTGACAATAGTTAAATACATATACCTATATCCACAAAGTTACGCGGAAGAGTTTTAATTGCATTGGTTTCAACTTCTATGCGGAGGGGGTTATTTTTTTTTATATTATATTAAAAAAAAGATTAACCTCCTCCCCAAAGAAGTTATATAAAGACTATTTATAACCACGAAGTTGCACGAAAGAATTTTAATTGCATTGGTTTCGACTTCTTTGCGGAGGGGTTAATCTTTTTTTGATATAATAACAACAAAAGATTAACACCCTCCGCATGGAAGTTGTAACCATATGCAATCAAAAATCTTTCGTGCAACTTCGTCGTTATAAATAGTCAGATCTCGTTGGTAAAATAGCAGTTATGGGGAGGAGCCGTTCTTCTGGCAACCGCCTTTCGTAATCCCAGAATGAGCGAAAAAAACACGCTAAATTTAGGTTTAGCATTGGCAACGTTGCTTTAAATGATTTGTAAACAATCTGAAAAACATTTTCAGATTGTTTACAAATTTATTTTAGCAAATTTGCCTCTATTATGCATACAGAATTGGTTAAAAAAGTAACAGAAAATAGCAAAAATATCATTGTTTATTGAATACCTAACAAAATATGTGCTAGAAAACTTTAAAAATATGAGAAATTAAGAGAAATTCGATTTTTCTGAAAAACGGTAAGAGACCGCCAGAAAAAAAGTTCATATTCGTAATCTACGACCTCAAAATAGGGTGTATACCAATTTTGGTGAAAATCGGACAATTTCCAGTTTTCCCAATAATTACCGCTTTTTTTCACATAATAGGTACATTTTTTCTATGTAGTGTTTCATTATTATGATATCCTGTATTTATTGTTTTTATTTCTCGATATACAAGACGTTTTGAAAACTAATTCGAACAACTTTTAAAGGGTGTTTCGTTGTCAACAATAAAGGGCAGTTGGTTATGTAAAAGTTGAGTAACATATTGGGGTACCGAAGATGGCTGAAAAATTGTGTTTTTATTTTATCCTAAAAGTTTAAAGCGTTAAACACCCTCTACACTATGCCCGAAATATTTTACGAAATATTTGGAAGTGTTAATAATAAATATTTTGATCAAAACAGATAAAAATATGTTTCATATCTACATATGTTTTTTTTTATATTTGACAATATATCAATTAACTTGTTATTGACAGAAAATAACCCGTTCTAATTGGCTATTGTATTTTATTGATAAAGTGAATAGATAGCAAAGCCATCTCACCAATTTAATAGATAAATTTATCGTTCGCTTTTGGGTCTTACCGACTTTTTTATACAGGGTGATTCAAAACAAACGCGATAAACTTAAAGGGGGGATTGCTTGTTAAAAATAACGGTGTAGACAATTGACAAAAAACCGGCGTTGACGAAAGGCCGATTTTGTTTTTTTTTCTCGAATCCATTGTGAAAAATGTAGTCCAAATTGAAATAACAGTTAATCTGTGACATCTTTTTTGTAGCGATAATCATACGCATGCGCTTTGTATTCGGTCCCTTTAAATAAGATATTTAAAAGGACCGAATGCATCCTGTTTTATTTAGTTTCGCCGTCTTACTGATCTTCTTCTTCAGGTTCCATCTCCTAATCGAGATTGGAAATCATCATGGCAATTCTAATTTTTTTAACTTCTGCTCTGAATAACTGGTTTGAAGTCATTCCAAACCATTCTCTCAAATTCTTGAGCCATGATGTTCTTCTTCCTTGGCTCCTTCTGCCCTTTATCTTTCCTTCGATTATGTTCTGCAGCAGGGCATATTTAGGTCCTCTCATTATGTGTCCAAAGTACTCAAGTTTTCTCTTTTTAAGAGTGTTAATAACCTCTTCGTCCTCTTCTGAATTCTGCGTCGCAGTTCTACATTTGTAACCTTGTCATCCTCAGCATACGCCGAGAACACTATCTTTCGAATGCCTCAAGCTTCTCCATTTCGGCCTTTTTAAGTGTCCAAGCCTCTGAACCATAGAGTAGAGTTGCAAATATGTAACCCCTTAGCATTCTTAATCTAAGCTTTAAGTTGATGTCTCCACCGCACAATTATTTATATATTAAACAATAGCGGAGAAAGTATACATCCTTGACGAACGCCGCTCAAAATCTTTACTTCATCAGAAAGTTGGTCGTCCACTATAACCTTCGCTGTTTACCCCCAATAAAGATTTGCTATTATCCTGATATCTCGGCTATCGATATTCATGCCTTTAAGTATTTCAATTAGTCTATGATGATTTCAATTAGTCTATGACTTTATCGAAAGCCTTCTCAAAATCTATAAAACATAAATACAGGTCCTGATTCATATCAATACACCTCTGTGCTAACACATTTATGCTAAAAACCCATGCCTCTTCTAAACCCCGCTTGGTTATCACTGATTTCTGAGTCCACCTTAGCAAAAATTCTATTATAAATAATAGAATTTTTCTTTCAGTGTGTGACTCATCATGGCAATTGTTCGATGGTCGGAACATTCTTTGGCATTGGGTTTCTTGGGCAACGGTGCAAAACTAGACATTAACCAATTCTTTGGTATAATGCCCGTAGTGTATATAACATTAAAAAGATTAACCAAAATTTCAATGGCTTCATCATCTATGAGTTTGAGAAGCTCGATTGCAAGTTCATCAGGACCATTCGCTTTGCCACTCTTGATCTGTTTAATTGCGTGTAATACTTCTCCTCGCAAAATGGTAGGATCTGTGGCTTCTGAGAAACTGGGCGCCATGTCCGGACGATTATCGTAAAAAAGGTCTTTTATATATTCAGACCAACGAAGCAGCTGTTGTTTAATATCAATGATTAAAGTACCATTTTTATCCTTTATTACTCTCGGTTGTTTATGTTTCGCCATTCCAGTCAGTTCTTTGATCTTTTTGTGCAAGTTAAAGCTATCATACTTTCTCTCATACTCTTCAATGGCTTCACACTCTCTACGGACCCAGTCTTCTTTGGCCCGTCTGATCTTCCGTCGAATCAGGTTCTGTATTTCTTTATATTTAGCGGCATTGTTTTTGTTATTCCGCCTTTCATCCATTAAATCCAAGATTTCATCGGTCAGTTATCCATCTTTGTTTTGTTTTTCTGGTTGCAGTTAAGTCTTACTGATAAATATGTGTTTAATCTGTGGTCTAGCGTCTAGCTATAGCTCTAGGAGTATACAATAAACTACTCTATTATTTTTAACAAGCAATCACTCCTTAATGTTTTGAGCATCAGTTGACGGTTTAACGCTGGTTAACTCCTTTCTATCTATACATATATTTATGTAATCACTCGTTATTGATAAGTAAGCCAGAAAACGTGTTAATACGAACCTGTAAAAGTTGAGTGTTTTGCTGGTGTAGCAGAGCCGACGACCTGGATCTTCGCGGTGTGATGCCCACGTTTTCTCCTCGCATAATCGATTCCACTACTGAAAAAAAATGAATATTAATATATTGTCTACTAGCCCACTAACTTTAGATTTTTTCAACAAAAATATTAGGCTGTATTCCGTTGCAAAACCAGGCGAACCAGACCGGTAAACTACGGTAAAGAGCGGTTCCTGAAAAACATCGGTTTGATACGGAACAGTTTGGTAAAATCATAGACAAACAAATAAAAAGAGACTGGCAAAGAGAGGGACAACGTTCCCGTAGCGCAACTCAGAACGCAAAATTTCATTCTACTTATGTTGATCTGCGCATTGCGTCTATTGGGCCCACTATCTCATTCTAATATAACAAGAGAGAAAGAAGCGGCCATATAAAACGTAATTTCTAAATTAGAACAATCGCCTTTCGTTTTCGTCATCATGACAACCAAGATGGCAACATCATGACAATTCGTCATGTTTGTTAATTTTTCTTTTGGTGATTTACCTTTTTTTCTAAACTCTCCATTTTATTGACTTATGAATATAAATAAGGAACAAATTCCTTTGTTCCATATAGGTATTTATATTTTGTTACTTATAATTTTAGGTTATACTATTTGTTATTTTATTTGCTGCAGGAACCAGTATCATCTATTTTTTATATGTATTGGTGCCCCCTTTCTCTGATAGATATGTTAAAGACACCCAGTAAAATAAGTAAGTAGTTATATTTATCATCTTATTAAGAAAAAAGTAGAAGTAGTAGTGTCAAAAATATTTCGAACCTCTCTTAACATAACAAATTAATACAATTATTTTTTTTCATTTTTTTGGTAGGTAATTTATAGCTGGTTTATAGTTATTATGTGTCAGAAACTTTATTAATATACCTATTTTACTTTTGTTTTAGGATTAAAACTGAACTTGAAAATGGTTCAGGATCATGATTCTCGTAAAGTCTTCTTTGCTTGGATATTCACTTTGTTATTGCAATTAGGCAGTTTTTTTCGAAAATGAGATTTTTAATGCCCTTTAAAAAAATTGGCCGATCGTTTCCTGCAACAGTCAGTTCTTCTGCATTTAAAATTGGTAGGTGGGTGGAATAAACACTGTTACTTTTTGTTATTATATTATAAAAAGTTTATTTATTTTTATGTATAAATAAATATGTTAATAAAACAGTACACTTTTTGCTTCTTTTATAATTTCCCTTATAATAGTAGTATTCTTTCGTTCTGAAAGAAACTGCAAATTTTCACTTACACTGATTTATTCCCTACACCACGTTCCCTTTACGTGGTATAGGGAATAAATCAGTTTAAGTGAAAATTTTCAGTTTCAGAATGAAAGAATACTACTAATAATGGCTAATTTAAATTTTCCGCCAGCCAGAATGTGCGATAATGTCTTACGATACGTTTTATACCTATAAAAAGAAAGATTTCATATAAAGCACACATAATAAAGAAAGATAGCAATAAAGACGTACGTCCTGCCATGGTCCTGCTAATTGGTTTCAAAATTGTTATTCTTTGCTTAGAGTTGCGCTACGGGAACGCGGTCCCACTCTTTACCATGGTATTTGTCAGTCTCTTTTTATTTGTTTGTCTATGGGTAAAATACTGGAAACGTCAAATGTTGACGTTTTCTAAATTTCAATACCTCTATTATAAAATTTATCTTTTATGCATTTTTAATGTACCTATTCTATGCTTTTACGTCTGTTTCTTCTTTTCAATGGAGTTTAATATTGAAAAGTACTTTATTAATAAACTGTTAAACTCGTTAGACAGCTCAAGTGAAGATTTGCAGGTCCAGTATTAAAAACATCAATAATAAATAAACAAATCTAATCAATATTTATATTTTTATAGCTTACAAAACATTCACGATTTCTTGTTGTCTTGTTTTTCATGTTTTCTTTAAATGTTCCTGACTTTAAGAAACAATGGCTGCATGAGAAGTTTAAATGGTCCTAAAAAGTCATTCTATTTAGTTAATGAAATTTATTTACTTTTACTGCCTACCTCCATTGCTTTTGGATGTAAATAGGACGAAGGAAGCTATCCTGGCTGAGAAATATTCGCCATTGGACAGGCATACAGGACTTCCAAGCACTCCAAGTCGCGGCAGTTAACAGAACCATCTGATGAGGAAGAAAAAGATGAACGCCTACGCAGGAATCTGCACGGCACCTTAAGAAGAAGATAAAACAATATTTTTTTCCATAGCGAGTTACGTTTTAAACATTTTTCAGAAATTATTATTTCAAGGAATTTATTACGAGTAGAAAAAATATTGTGCTGGGTTGGCGTTGGTTTCTATGTAATTTGACAAATAGATAAAGCTGTCTCTTTAAGGTACGCGTCCACTAATCGGCGTCGGACGGACGGTACGCATTGGATGAATCGGATTATTTAATTAACTACATTATTTGAATATGACCGCGTTCACCTATCGGTATCGAACCGACCGCACTTCGGCATTTCCGGACGGGATTCCAAAGACGAAATCAAAATCCAAAAATCTTTTTCGTTCAATAGCGACATAACGCTTATGCTTCAACACCACTTTGCTAACTGCGGAGAGCGAGAGATGCTGATACCGACTCCAATAGTCCGTGGTAGTAAACGCAGGACCCAAAAAACATCCGATTTTTCCGATGCGTACCGTCCGTCCGACGCCGATTAGTGGACGCGTACCTTTAAGCTCCGCGCGCACTGCATCGGATCGGACCGACCAGCAAAAGCGACTGCGACCATCGTACCGTCCGCCGGCGTCCACTAAAACATTTCGGCCTGTAGAGGCCAGATTCCTACCTCTACCTATCTACGATAGTCGAGTCACCGCCTTCGCCGTTTCTCGCCGGACTGGTACCGATTCATTGCGCGTACACCTTTAGTCACAATCGGAACTTCGAAGCAGTGACAAGATCAGTCTTGTAAGTCACATACCTTCTAGCAGAGTCTGCGTGAGAGGGACAACCCTGTATACAGAGTTGTTCACCACATACGACACGGAGTATTGTAGCTAAATGATTAGATTTTTACAAATTGTAAGTTTTGGGTTCGTTGAAGGACTATTAGAGCTACAATTTAAAAATATTAGATACGGGGTGTAATGTAAGATACAGAGTGTGCCAAAATAAATGGAACACCCTATATATTATACAATTTTTAGATTCTACGAATTAAATAAAGGTAAATTTGATTAAGGTTTATCACACTTAAACCTTATCGTTTTTGAAATATTTTCAATTTTGTGAAATTGCAGTAAAAAATTTAAGGCTTCATTTCTCCAAGGGTATCAAAGTTTTTAATACTACATATTTACTGAAGATTATTTATTGATCAGATATTGTGTTGCTTATTATTGAGGGTTGGAACCTTTGGTGTTAAACAGCAAATTTTATTGTGTTGCGATAATAAAAATTATACTTTCTTATACAGAGTGTCCAAAAATTTATGTTAAATAATGACTAGCTTTAAACGGCTGTAACTTGTTTAATTTAAATGGAACACCCTGTATATTTTACTTAATTCATATGCACAATTTAATTGACTATCAAATTATATTATACCGTTTTTTACCTATCTCTTCAAGTTTTCCTAGAAAATGCCTTTTCTGATAATTTAGACCTCATTTATCACTATACCCATGGAATATTGACATTTTAGATTATTTTTAAAGATGTAACAAATTTTCAAAGAGTACAGATACTAATATTGTCAATATAGTTCGATTATTTCATTAAAAAATTTAAAAAAAAAGTTTAAATATTATTTGTTAAAAAGGTCCAATTAATATGATCCTAGTATTCAGACTACATTAATTGACTGTTTACGTTGATTAATCAATACTAAAAATTAAAAAAAAACTCCAAATACTAAAAAACTGAATTTTGAACATGTGTGTATTAGACAGTATAAATTTTATTTTAATTTTTGACGAATGCTTATTTTTATAACAGAGACGTTCATTTTCGTAACTTATTATTATATTGATTTCCGAGTCAAATCCACATTTATTTAGAATAAATGTGTGAAAATAGTATGTAATTAACTAATTTTTCGGAGGAAATTATATTTAATAGGTATACTCTTTTAGAAAGATTTAAATAGTTTGCTGTTTGTAACAAAAGGGCTTGCAATATTACTATTTTTGAATATTATTTTGGAACATATATGTTACTTTAAAAAAAATCTAAAATGTCAATATTCTATGGGTATAATGATAAATGAGGTCTAAATTATAAAAAATGCATTTTCTTCGAAAACTTGAAGAGGTAGGTAAAAAATGGTATAGTACAATTTGATAGACAATTAAATTGTGCATCTGAATCACGTAAAATATACAGGGTGTTCCATTTAAATTAAACAAGTTATTGTCGTTTAAAGCTAGTAATTTTTTAATATAAATTTTTGGACATTCTGTATAAGGAAGTATAATTTTTATTATTGCAACACAATATCTGATCAATAAATAATCTTCAGTAAATATGTAGTATTAAAAACTCTGATACCCTTGGAGAAATGAAGCCTTAAATTTTTAACTGCAATTTCACAAAATTGAAAATATTTCAAAAACGGTAAAGTTTAAGTGTGATAAACCTTAATCAAATTTACCTTTATTTTACTCGTAGAATCTAAAAATTGAATAATATACAGGGTATTCCATTTAAAAAAAATACAACTATAATATTTTTTACATATTTGGGACACTCTGTATCTTTTAAAATTATTTTAAATTGTAGCTCTAATGGTCCTACAACGAACCCCAAACTTACAATTTGTAAAAATCTAACCGTTTAGCTACAATACTCCGTGTCGTATGTGGTGAACAACCCTGTATACTTAATATTTATATACTAACCTCCATCGCCAATAAGTCGCATCTGGACCAGAGCGGGGTCCTCGTTGTGCTCCTCTAACACAGTGTCATCTGTAACTGTCAGGTCCTGCAAAAAAATGTTTCAGTAAATATAAAATTACCAAAATATAAGGGATAACAAATGACGAAGTTGCAAAATAGTCGAAACGTCCAAAAACTATTTAGTTTCTTTCATATTTATTTTTCTACAGTAATTTCTATTTTTATTAATATTTTGTTAAGTCTCTGTATATTATCTGCACTTCTTTTATAATATCTCTTCAACTAAAGCCAGTAAAAATACAAACGATTTTACAATATTTCGTTTTTTTTTCCTGAGAATCTTCGAAAGCATAGGGATATTTTTAAATTTCAAAACGTAATTTTTTTGCGAATCATTGCTTTATTTTGACCTTCATTGTATATCTGATAGTTTTGGAGATTAAATTCATCATCAGCAAATTTGGGACACCCCGTATAGATTATTGTCGTACTAACGTTGTTCGTAAAAATGTTTATCTAATGAAATGTTATCATTTAATGATAAAATATAAGTTCGCAAAATTCTGGTATCTACGCTATTGTTCAATAATATTTAGTGCAAATGATACGTGTTGCATTGATTGCTATTGTTTTTTTGTGAGATATTGGTAAGTTATAAACTATTTCCAGTAAAAATAAAATCCCCTCAAAAACATATAAAATGTAAAAAAAATGCGCCAAAAATTTTGACTTACCTGGTATTTCCCTAATCCTTCAATTGTTTTATAATCTCAATTAGGTACCTATCAATATAGACATCTTCAAGTAATTGCATTTTTTACATTTTATGTTTTTGTTCTGAGCTTAAAAAAATAAAAAGTTCCTCAATTTACCATTTCAGTAAAATAACTATCTAATCAACATGTTTATTTTTTGTCAATAATGACATACACACACTGGAAAAGTCTAGGGATATTTACAATTTTATCCAGCCATCGTCAGTAATTTTATTATTTGCATTTCTGATGATAATAAAATTAAAATAAACAAATAGTTTACAGGACGTATTGGAAATAAAAATGCGAAATTTACCGAATTTTTCAAATTTACCTTGATTTTTATTGAACTCAAAAAAATACACACATTTTTTTTAATTCTAAACTGTGCATTAAAAAAAAAGATAAAACCTTTTTACTTAATAAAGGGTATGGCCTCCTCTACTGTTCATTACAGCCCTACATCGTCTCTCCATGCTCCTGATCAGGTTGTCGATCTCTTCTTGAGATACAGCCTGCCACGCTGCATTCACGGCCCGAACCAGATCCCTACGAGTTTCACGAGGCATACCCATTCTCAAAATTCTTCTTTGGACCGCGTCCCATACGTGCTCGATGGGGTTGAGGTCAGGAGATTGTGCCGGCCAGGGTAAGATTAATTGATGAGCATTGATAAACTCACTTACCACTCTGGCTGTATGAGGCCGTGCATTGTCATGCATGAGAATGAAGTTTCTCCCAAAATCAATGGCATATGGTAACACGACAGGCTCAAGAATTAAATCACGATATGTGATTCCTGTTAGAAACCTTTCAAGAAAAACAAGATCGGTTTTTCGGCCTAACTGAACTCCTCCCCAGACCATAACTGTTCCACCTTGATAAGGGTGCACTTCCTGAACATGATCCAACCGAATAAGATTTCCCGGTTCTCTCCATACCCTAAGCCTTCTCGAATCTGGATGAATTCCAAAGCGTGACTCATCCGTGAAAAGAACATTTGCCCATTGTTCATTCGATCACTGAACATGATCTTGAGCCCACAAATATCGTACCTCTCGATTTCTCTCGTTAAGGGTTGAGCTCTCCAGGGGCGTCTGCTTCTTAAGTTAACCTCTCTTAATCTATTGCGAACAGTGTCAGGACTAACGGTTACATTATGTGTCTCCTGGAGAATTAAACTAAGCTCTGGTGCTGTAAGAGTCGGTCGGTGTCGAGCATTTAATTGTAAAAAATGATCTTGCTGAGGGGTAGTAATGCGATGTCGCCTTGTGTGTCTTTCAGCAACATCTCCACTTTCACGGTAGCGTGCACTTAATCGCGATATTACACTTTGCGTTGTATTTAATGCTCTAGCTACGTCGATTTGGCGCATTCCAGCTTCAAGCATACACTGTAAAAAATCAGCCTGAGTGAACACATATTTCTCAGGGAGTGAATTTTTTGAGTGAAATAATTGAGTACATTTTTATCTAAAATAGAGTAAATTCATCATTTTACTCAAATATGATCTCTATTTAATCAATAGCTATTGAATAAGCTCATGTTCGAGTTATAACCCCTATCTTTGAGTAATGGAATAGAAAAATTCACTTAAAAACTCATGTTTTTTACACAATAAAAATTTGAGTGAAATCACCCAGTTTAGAGTATTTTCGCTCATTACTAATCATACGTCATACGCGCTTCTTCGATACCGAATAAGCTATTTCCCTGTTCCTCAGTTTTTAATTATCTGTTCGAGTCGTAGGTTGTCTTGTTCCTTCGAAGGTGCCCAGGTTACAAGTCCATAGTGTATGTGTGTGTGATGTAAAGTGTGACAGTGGCCGCGTGGCGTGGTGAAGCGAATACGAACTCATAACTCCTAAATATGTTTTATGTTAAGAACATTTTTTTTCACATCGCAGAAATCCGCCTAACATATATTCAAATTCGACTGCGTCTACTGATTGCCGCAATGCTCGGATGTTTCCTGGACTAATTAGCGTAGCGAAAATCTAGGTACTTTCCCTCAATCTGGAACTGGGAACTGGAACATTTGGCAGAATAACATTTTTTTTTAATTTTCAGGAGGAAAAGTATCTGGATTTTCCGGAGGATTTTCGTTATTAAAAGTTAGTTTAGAAATTAGAAATATTCGAGAATGTTGGTAGCCGAGCTGACGAATGCTCTTAATAAAGCGGATTTTTGCGATGTGATGCAACTTTTCTAGACATCTAGCTTAAAAAGTTCCTGTATTTTTTCCAAAAAGAGTTGAAAACTTTTTAAAATGTTTTTGATATTATAATAATAGTGTTATATTTGGTTTTATTTGTTTTTTTGTCAAATAAAAATGACAAATAAAAATATTTTTGAAGGTTCTACAGTTTTTTATTTGGTTTGTTAAAAAAAACGAAATATTCTAAATGATTTTTTTAAAAGCTATGTAAGCTAACTTGTTATTTTATTACAAGTGACCAGATGCCTCCCAAAAGTGAATTTTAGGAAATGGACATGTTCGAGACCATGTCCTAAACTGAAACTTACCTTTGAAAGGCACCTGCCCACCTGTTATAAAATAACAAGTTAGCTTACATATAGCTTTTAAAAAAATAATTTAGAATATATTTCTCAATACTGAGTGAAATTAATACTCAGATATGAGTACTAATCGAGTTAAGTGTAACACAAATTTGAGTAAAAGTCACTCAATAAAAGGTGTCTTGAACTCAACACTTAGTGAGTTCACTCATTTTAAAGTGAATAAATTATCAAAATCGATCAAAATCCTACTCAAGGTAAACAATAATGAGTAAAAAAAGGAGTCTTTCGTCTAATCTCGATTGAGTGAAAACACTCAGTGCTTTTCACTCTGAGAATTGAAGATTCACTCGGTTCTGTAGAGTGGAAATTTCACTCAATCGGGTGTGGACAGAAATTGAGAAAGTATTGAGTGAAATCTGAGTGAAATTTCACTCATTTTTTTTTACAGTGTACCCATGTCCCTTAGCATTTCGTCTCTGTTAAGATGTCTACGCTCCATAATGTCGTTTAATACTTCTTCTTCTTTACGTGCCGTCTCTTTCGTGGAGGTTGGCGATCACATTGGCAAAATCTTCACGATTCTCGACTTTCCTTATAAGTTCTTCAAAAGTTAGGTGAGTCCAGTTTCTGATGTTTCTCAACCAAGATAGTTTCTTCCTGCCGAGACCTCTCTTTCCTGCAATTTTACCCTTAACTATTAATTGTAAGACGGGGTATTTTTCATTTCTCAATATATGCCCTAAGTATGATGTTTTTCTTATTTTTATTATATTGAGCAATTCTCTTTCTCTGCCTATTCTGTTGTAGACTTCGGTATTTGTGATATGGGCTGTGCATGGAATTTTAAGCATTCTTCGATATATCCATATGTTTCGAACGATTCGAGGCGATTCATCTCTTGAACTTTCAGTGTCCATGTTTCTGCTCCGTATAATAGGATTGACCAAACATAACACTGAACGAGCCTAGTTCTCAACTCTAGGTCCAATCGGGGGTTCTGGAAGACGTTCTTCATTTTTAAAAATGCATTTCTCGCTTGTTCTATTCTGGTTTTTATTTCCACGTCGTTGTTCAAGGTGTTAACTATCCAGGACCCCAAATATTTGAACTTGTAGACCTGTTCTAAGGTATTGCCCTCTATTTTAATACTAAACAGAGTTATTTGAATGAATTCTGGCCAGTTATCATAAAAACATAGCCAGTACAGGTTAAATTCGAACAATTGATGCTAGGTGCTTTTTATACATTTGACAAAAAATGCACAAACACTTCTGCAAATATCCCAAATTTAGAAATAACTAGTGCGACTACTTCGTTTCAATCGAAGTAGAAAGAATCGGCCTACAAATATGCGGTTGTTTATTCAAAACATTTATTTTTAACTTTAATAAAATGATATCCCTAGATTTTTCCGGTGTGTGTATATTGACTATTTCCATTCCAAAAATCTTGAAAGCGGTTGCTCGTAGATATTTTTACCAAGAGACATTTTTTACGTAGAAATATATAGACATAATAAATAAATATATGCCTTTATTGTCAAAAAATTTTTCAATTTGTAGACAAAGGTAAATTAACAAAGTAGAAAAAAAACAAGGTACACAAACAAACAAAAGATAATACGAAACATTATATAAATAATATTGTCAGTCTTATTGTTAAAATAAACATTTATAAATGTTTACAATGTCAAAGAACAAAAAAATTAAAATAATATTCAAAAATATTTAGCCAGTTTATAGCAAAATATCAATGACCTCTAAATAAATTAATTTCAATGTCATTAGTAAATATAGCAATAGCAAACATTAGACCAGTGTTTTCAAGATCAAATTCGATTTTCAATTCAAATATAATTCATTTACGGCGTAGAAAGCCTTGTATAGTAAATAAGAGTTCAATGCTTTGCGAAATGAAAAAAATGATGTTATGGATTTGATTTCAAATGGCAGGTGATTGTGCATTTTTTTCGAGTTGTATAATATTGAACTTTTAACTAACTCTCAGCGTGGGGTAGGTAGATAAAGATCTTGCTCCGCGTTCCTGAGTGGATAAGTGTGAGCTGGCCTTTCTTGAGAAGCTGATACATGTTTACTTATTAGGCAAACGGATTCAAATATAAATAAGGAAGGAAGAGTCAATATTTTTAATTCTCTAAAAAAGCTCCGGCAATGAATTCTGCTGTTTAGTCCTAGTGAATATCGAACAGCTCTCTTCTGGAGCTTGAAAATGCGGTCAAATTGAGTCGCACAACACGTACCCCAGAATGGAAGGGCATACCTGAGGTGCGACTCAAAAAGTGCACAATAAACAGCTCTACCCACTGACAAGTTAAGCTCCTTAGAAACAGACCTTAATGCAAAACAGGCAGAGCTCAATTTTTTAATTTTGGCGTTTGCTTATGGGACACCTTGTATAATATTTTCATTACTGATAAACAATTTATTTTCTATAATTTCGTAAAAAAAACAATCTTTAAAAATAACAAAGGTATGGGGGTGTCAATATATAAAAAAAACTTTGTTTTTCACGCTATGCTCTGGAGTTATTTTTCCACGTACTAAACAAATATTTTTGTCTCTTTTCATTTCTTCATAACCTACAGCATTATCTCCATACGTTTCCTTACCTGATTCTGAAAAATAAGTTTATAACATTAATATCTATAACTATATAAAAGTTCGTAACAGTAGGTACCTACTTATACTTAAATATGCCTCTCAGTACTACAAAGAATAAATGTTACATACCTCTCTGTTTTTTTCCTCGTAATTCAGCACCAATAAATTGGGAATTTGTATTTATAAAAGCAGCCAACATAAAAGCATCGACTTTTTGAGTTATCTGATTGTGCTTTTACAAACCCGGAATCTGCCATTACTTAAAAAATTCTCAGAACACACAACACATACAAATAATAACTGCACAAAAAAGCATAAAAAGCTCCTTCAATCAACGCTAAAAGCAACAAAAATGTCTTAGTACGCCACCTAAATACGTACATAAACGGAACACGTCTGGCTGCTGCTGGCCATCGCGCGTCGACGAGAACGGCGGGTGACGTCAGACCAATAGAATATCGTTTCAATTCGCGAGGCGTCGTTTGCGTTATCCATAGTATTTTAATGGTCCGTTTTATAAAATTGTGGTACTGCTTTCAAGAAAAAAGTTTTTTTTTGCATTTACACATATTTATGTCCTGGAGTTTCTGGCGAAAAATAAAATATATGCATCTTCCTCATTGACAGATGGCAACTTACAAATTGCTAAAAAATCAAACACAATATATAAAACTTTAAAATACATGAAAATTTTAAGGTTCCCGTTTTTTGTAATTAAATATTGATTGATTTATTAAAAAATTAAAATATTGGTTTTCTGATTGGTTACAGATTTGTCCGGATTCTTTGCATAAATGAACACCGAACCAAATTACTCAAACATGGAGGAAGTGTTGAAACTGATCAATTCAAAGTATATCGCTCTAGACGAAAATCAGAAAGAGTACAATGTACGCCACCTGCTTACAGTTTTAGACCTATTGATAGGTATAATGAAAGCTATAGACCCATTATTTTTGGCACTATACAGTACAAATTACTTTGGCGGCAGCTACTATGATGGTCTGAAGATTGAGAAACCCAACGAGTTCGATATTGACCTCTTGCTATCCCTTTCAACCATCATTTGCGTATCTTGTAAGAGAAGGCGATGCGGTTGTGTTAGGCTGTGTCCAAGTAATAAGCCTGGCTGGTTATGGCTAAAAATCAAGGACGGGTTTTGCCCTTCCCTTAAAGTCTTTATGAAAGATGGGTTTGTGGAAACCAATTTAGTTCTTAACTGGCTAAAAGGTCTTGTTTATAAAGCCTTGCCAAAACTGGCTGAGAAGAATGTCGAGGTTAAAACAAATTATTGGTCAGAGTCTGGTCCTGCATTAACTCTAATGATCCGTGGAGAATATGGAGATATAGACGTAGATCTCGTACCTTCGTTTACTTTTAACAAAGGCGATTGGCCCCTTGGAGGATATATCGATAATCCAACGTCAAAATGGGAGTTTTTTATAGTGCCCAAATACAATGAAACGCAGAGATATTGGAGAGCGTCGTTTCAAGCACAAGAATCCATACTTATATGGGGGAAGGAAAAATTGAAGCCCTCTTTGAAATTACTGAAAAAGATGCGAAACAGCTTAGACCACCGGTTCCTGGCCAGTTACTTCTTGAAAACTATAGCCTTAAATAATTTGAAAAATATCAAGTGGACCGGGTCGCTGAGCGAGGCATTTATGCCCTTGTTATACGAATATCAAGAATGCCTAAAATCTGGACAAATCCCTTATTATTGGAACCGTAAAAATAATCTGTTAGGAATGGTAAGGAAAGACATTCTAGAAAATGAATATAATAGAATAAGTAAACAAATTCGAAAGATAGAACAAAGCTATAAGACCGATCCTTGTATCATTGCATCAATAATATTAACGCCAGAGGAATATAACGTATTTAAAAATGATAGTCAAGCGCAAATGTTGTGTGGAGTCAGCCAAGCATCTTTACCGTGTCCTGAAGAAGCATCCGGATGGGTGTCAATATTTAGAAATTTAGGTAGTAAATTATAGATAATTCGATATAAGTGCAAATATTTTTCGGGATGATATATTTCGACCTCAGAAATTTTTTTAATACTATTTTTGTTTCATCGATATCTACAAGCCCCTTTGAATAAGAAGACTAAGGAAGGAACATAATGCTATCCACATGCTATCCATGTATTCATGCATGGTGGGCGGAAAAAGGACTCTAGGGTGGGGATCCTTGACAGTTCTGTTTGATGATTCATTTGACACATTTGAATTTGATTTAAAATTTTGTGGATGTTATTTGTTGTTTATGTTGTTTATTATTTATTCTACTACTGATAGTTGTATAAAGGTAGTAAATCTAGATGGAAATTGTGGCAGAACTTAAATTAACAGTGACACTATCGCGATTTATCGAAAAAGTCTCTACAATAGTTGGTTGTGTAGCGTGCGGTAGATCTCGGCAAAAATCGAGTGAAATAATGGAACAACTTTTCGCTAGTAAGTGACTATATAATATACATACATGTAGTAAACCGATCATTTATGAAATTCACTTAAATTAACTAATTATATATTTTTTTCTTGCATTTTTGCTTTTATTTACTACTTGTCAAAGAATTTAGATACGTCAATTTGACTTACCTGCTTCAGTAGCGTATCGGATGTTTGTGTTAATAAATAATTATTAAAACTTATCTATTTTTATTATAATAATATGTTTTTATAATAATTTTAATAACTACCAACATTTATTCACAACGTAAAATAAAAAAAAATTATTGAGTCTACCCTACGTCTACCCTACATAGTTTTACATTTTTTAAATAAAATTAGAACGGCACTGATAAACCGGAATTTAAGTCGGCCATATTTGAGTCCCATCGCGGTGGACCTAATATTTTTGATATGCTCCTTCCTTAGTCTTCTTATTCAAAGACTAGCCCTGAAAATATTTGCACATATTTAAGACTCACCCTGTATAACAAAAAATGTTGTTTATCTCGAAATAATGATTTTGACTTTTGACACTTACACACCAACAGACAATAATAATATGATTTTTCAATAACAGGGATAAATCATAAACACTATTTCATAAATCTGTTGACTAGTACCAAAAGCAAAGGCATGGTTTTAATTTTAATGTAAAAATTACAAAAAATGTTAGTGTCTTCTTCAAAAGCGAATATCTCCAAAAAAAATAAAGCTATTGAAATGAACCAAAAAATAAACTATCGAGAAAAGATGCACCGAGAATACAATATACAGGGTGTTTCAAAAAACATGTGCCATCTCTCGTGTGGAGATTCCTCACGTAAAATATGATTTATTGATGAGGAATCAATGAGTACTTATTTAAAACTTTCGCAAGTTAACGCTATTAAATTTGTTTAAAGGTCGCTATTAGACTTGGATCAAGGAAAATTAATAAAATTGCGTTTATCTCGTCAAGGAGACCGAAATCGATAAAATATGAAGATACAACTTTTAATCGAAATTAAACTGCTTACACTATTTCACGAAAAGCATTTTCATATGCACGTCCCTGGTGAATATTTCGAAACTTTTTTAGCTTTAAAATATGTCGCATTTAACACTCTGTAGCTACAAAACAAAGCAGAATCGGACTTATGTTGATATGAAAAATAAATCTTATTTTTGCGTGAGGAATCTCCCCACGAGAGATGGCACATGTTTTTTGAAACACCCTGTATTTTTTAACAGCAAAATTAATACTTTCTCAGAAACGCCATCGACAAGGGACCAATCAAATTCGGCGAGTGATCAAGAACAACCTAGCACTAGTACCAGCAGTGGCGGTACTTCCTGGTGGCAAATTGGAACTATAGCGGCTGCAGGACTGATCGCTGGTGCCGTTGGTGGAGTTTTATACAGAGCATTTAGAGAAGAAAATGAAGAACTCCGTCCTGAAAATAGACCTGCGAATTCCAGGCGAAACTCAAACAATCAAAATAGATAAAATATACAATAATTGTTTATCTAAGTATTTTATACAATATTATTTACCAATATTTACCATAGTATAGTATAAAGTTTTTAGGTGATGTCTGTACCTTTCTTTCTTATAAAGTTTTTGTTTTAACTAGGTGTTCTCTCCATGTTTTATTTAATTTTTTGTTCCAGTAAATCCTACTTTTAACATTAGGACACCTTGAAAGCTGCATCTTACAGTAGCTAAGAAACTAAGACGGATAATAACAATTATAAATATAATAATTATAAATTATAGCATCTTTTGTTTCAAAAAGTAGTCAACTACTGGGAAAACCGCAACTTTCGTTGAGAAATACAATGAAAATGGGACACCCTGTAAAGTACGTCCACAGTTTAAAGAATATAAATATATCAGTTGACCCACTCTTCGCCCGTATCAAAATTCCTCCCGCCGCGCCGCTCCCCGCCTGTCTTGTAGACTTGGGTCAGTCTACATCCGTTGCTCGACGTGTACACAGCGTTCCAAGTTTATTTTAGTTTTGTTTTCGGTCCGACGCATAGGATGAACCAAAAATAGTATTTTAGTTGTTCTGTTCGAATTGTGAATAAAATGTCTACTATGTAGAAATATTTGTGCAGTGGATGGTTGTGAAAGTAGAATGACAGACAATATATCGTTCTTTAGGTGCCCAAAAGATGAAGGAAGGTACGTGTTTATATAGTATAGGATATTAAGTATATAATATTAGTATTAGACATATTAAGTATATTATAATTAAGGAAACCTAACTATGAATAAATTGTTTTAAAAATATACATATAAATTAAGAAAAGATTTTACTCGAAATATGCACAAAATATTTATTTTTAACAATTAGTTTATTATTTTAGTAGATATTTTAGAGTACTAGTAGATACTTTACTATTATGTTTTGGATTTTGCAGTATTTACCGGTTTGCAAAGTGCATATTAAATTATTTTTTAAGATATTTGCATTTTTTTAAATAGCATGTTTTACTTTTTAGATGTTTGTATTTAACTTTAACTACCAAACCAAACCGGTAAACGTACAAATTTTTTGTCACCTCGAAGGGTCACGGGCCGCCTTTGAAGTCAAAATAACAATAGAATTCCTTAGAGTGGGCCAACTGGTATGTATTCTTTAAACTGTGGTTTTAGGGCATACATTAAAGGTACGCGCACACAGACCAGAGCCGCACGCTTATCAGAGTAAATGATAAGGATAAATTCCTTCGTGCACCTCGTGAAAAACCCCGGGGACTCCTCAGCCCAGTACCGACAGTTGTGCCGATTAACTACACCGTTCAAAAAGAAAGCACACTCATCCGGAAAAAAAAACATTAAATAGGAAACTATTATCATTCGCCACTCGTTCACTCATAGTTTCACAAAATTGCAAGCCACGATCAAAATCATCTTCGTTGAGTTCTTGTACCAGCTGAATTTTGTACGGGTGGAACTTGTGTTTTTTTAATATCCTTTGGAAACTTCTACGATTCTCGCCGGTCTCATTGGCTAATTTTCTTGTACTCAGAATACTGTCCATGGCAACTTGGCCCAATATGAATACCTCCATAGCTTCATTTACTACCGGATTTTTATTCATAACGGAACCAGTTTCGCGAAATTTTGCTACTAACTGGCGAACAATTTTGCCATAAAGGTGTTTGTCAGGATGGCATTCACTGAATATCTGCGCAACTCTGATAAATGTTTAAATAAGCTTTTCAAATTTCAATCCTTCATATTTTCTCAATGACTCGACCGATTTTCAAAAACGGAGCGGGAAAGTATAGAGAGAGAATAGAAAGCCCTTTTCATTGCGGTATCACTTGACCCCCTTCCTATTTGACAAAAACTTAGAGGGTTGAAGATTTTGCAATCATTGTTGTCCCCCTCGCGAACAAAATCGACGTGTTTTTGAATTTTCTGAAAAAATAAATTACTCTGGCTGTTATGCCTTGCGGAACGTTTTCGATGGGCCACCCTGTATATTTAGTTCGAGTATGGTACTCGTACTCGACAGTATGGTACTCGTACTATTTTTAGTATTTTTATTTTATTATTTTGTCAGTTTTTGCCTACTCTGGTTTGATTACTACTGCACGCCACTGTCATCAAGGGCCGAAGTTTCCCGACTGTCCCGAACTAAATGGAAAACTTTTCGACGATTGGCATCGGGGAAAACTTTCTCAATCGGCGGACGAGTTTCCTAATGAATTTTCTCCGCGTTGGCGACGGAATTATGTTCCAATTTATATGCTGAGCGGTTTTTTCAGGCCTATTTACTTTCGACGAAAAAAAAACAGATTAGATTTATTCCCTTTTTCTTTTTTCTTTGATCGCTTTTCATTATCTTTTTTGTAATTTATATTTTCATGAATTATTTGTGTATTGCACTGAATAAAAATAAAAAATAGGGAAGGAAAAAGTTAAATACCATACGATCGAAAAAAATTGCTCAAGTGCGAGTCGGACTCGCGCACGAAGTGTTCCGTACCATTCATTATCTATACAACATTAGACACTATATTATTATAAACTTTTTTTCCGATTTAGCTGAAATTTTGAATGCGCGTATAAGTAATTTAAAAAAAAATGAAGAAACGCATTACTAAAAATTGTATTAATCAATAATAAATATGTAAAAATTAAAAAAAAAACGATTAAAAAAAGTAGCCTTGAATAGGATTCGAACCTGCCTTACTACGGCTCCAACGTCATAGCAGCGTAAAGTCCTAACGCTTTAACGACGCGGATACGCGAGGACTTGAAAGTTTCTATGTAAAATTCTTACTTAAAAGATAATGTTTAGTGAAAGTACTTTTTTATTTATGAACATTTATTTAATTCTGTTTTTAGTATTTGTTTTTATAGCGGCAATATAGATACATTATCTGTGAAAAAATCAACTGTCTAGCTATAACGGTTCATAAGATAGACGTTTGTGACAGACGGACGGACGGACGAACAGCGAAGTCTTGTAATAGGGTTCCTGTCTTTACCCTTTAGGTACGGAACCCGAAAAACGAGATCGGTTTAAAGCAGCGTAGTGAGCTAAGTTCTAAAGCTAATAATTTCCAAACTATCAGTTGCCACTTCGTGAGACCAATTTTTATTGAATGAGACTGAATTCGTGAGACCAATGTTTAATTTAAAATTCCCTAAAAGAGAAACAAAATTTTGTCTGATAGGTCTCTTTGTGAGAAAGGCGACGAACGAATATCAAAAACACAACGTAGACTTACCCTAGTAGCTTCGTTGTATCCAATTATCACAGCAGTATACCATTGCGTGGTGCCCTCCGCCCTATACACCTCCACTCTGTAGCCCACCAAGACGCTCGGAGTGGTCAGCAATATTCTTTGGCCGTCTTGTAGCTCGGCCCACCGTTTGACGGCCAGCCGAAGTTCCGGATAATCCCTAACGCCGCGCAGTGTCGAATCCCATTCCTGAAACATTCACCAAGAAGTTATCAGTCGAGTTAAAAATCATCAGAAACATATATTTTTATCTTATACCGGGTTCAGACCAAGCAGACAAAACAACGACAAGACTGAAACATTCATGTTTTACGACAAAATTGCGACAAACCCAAAGTCGGTAAAGATCAAAGTGCAGTTTGAACAATTTGTCTCAAGTTTGTCTTGTCTGAATTCCCCATTTTTTGTCGCAAGTTTGTCTTGTTTTTGTCTCAAAATCGTGTTTACTTTTTGTTTGCGATAGTTTGTAATAAATTTAAATACAGAGAGCCTCTCATACGACGAGGAGGTTTCATGGAGAACGACACTTTGTATTGAAATGAAATTTTGTTAGCATAATATGTAGCTTAATTCAGAGCACTTTTTAAAAATATAGAGTTTTACAGGGTGTCCCCAAAAAAAGTTACTTATCAAAGTTGTGTTTTTTGTAATTGAACACCCTATATAATAATTGATTTTCTGATTCTGGGAGAAAATAGAGGTGAGTTTTATAAGAGAAGTACCGTAAAACGAGGTGAATTGGGACATACAGGTGAATCGGGACAAAACTTTCTTTTTTTTTATTATTTATTAACTTTATTAAAAAAGTCGTTGAAAGCGTAAACACTGGTCAAGTTGTGTCTAAACATGTGCTTTACGTGTGACGCCACTGAATTTGCTGTCAAACTTAAATTTGACAAAATGCCGAAATGTAATGTCACTTTCGCTTAAAGTTAAAGAATTATTTAAAAAAAATATTTTTAACCAATCAGGCACTTTTTAGGTTATGTTGTGGTGAATAGGGACATTAGCAAAATTAGACATGACTCTGTTTTATACGCCAAAAGGGAAACAACTATATCAACATTATAACCCGGAAAAAATTAAAAGGGCTCTTGAAGACATAACAGTTCGTAAAATATCTTACAGTCACGCGGAAAAGTTGCATGGTATTCCTAGGTCAGTTTTATGTCGGCACAATTTTGTTTTCTTCAGTTTGTTAATAGTTTTTATGAGAGTTTGATAAAATATATATTTTTTGCTAAATCTTATGTTTTTTAATACAAAACAAAAATCAAAATAAATAATTTTTATGATAGAACATGATATATTTTTTTCTATTATGTTGTCCCTTTTCACCCAGGCTGCGTCTAAATAAGAATACGTACTGAAAAACAATGTCCCTAATCACCACATTTCCAGGGGAATAGGGACAAGACGGTTTTAAAAAAAAACGCACTTTTTTTCTTTTTTTTTAATTGCACTATTTGGAAATGAAAAGTACACAACATGTTCGATATTTTGGCCTACAGAAACTAAAAATAAATTAAATAGTAAAGCAGGAATATCTTCGTAAAGTCGACGGAGTGACCCGATTCACCTCGTTTTACGGTATATGACTAAAATGTAAAGGTGCGTATTCATTATCCGCACGAACGAACGAACAAAGGAACGAATGTTCGCTAGTGGTATGGACGGGGACCGCACGATAGAACCACACGAGAAGACCGCACGCATTTCTTCATTCGCGCGCCAGTTCAAATCGTCAAGATATTGTTATAAACCTGTTTTTTTTTTTGTTTATATACCGTCATTGAATTATCGCTAAGCAAGTTACTGTGGAGCAGTGCATAAGGAGTCGGGCTAGGAAGCGAGAGACCGGAGTTCGAATCTCGGCCGGAACATCACTTTTTATTTATTTTTTTAAATACTGTTGTATTCTATAGTTTAGTTTTGTAGTATAAAAAAAGAACTATTTATTCTGTTGTTTTTTAATCTCCGTTATTAATATAAATTGATTGTTAGTACAATACCTCATTTAATATAAAATAATATTCTACTTTTTGAAATGTATCGGGCCCTAATTGTACCTAAAAGTAATATATTTTTAGTGATATACCATATTGTAAACTATTTAATATTTCAGTCAGTTAAAAAGTTAATTTGCATTGAATAATTGCCTACCATTAAAGGAAATTTGAGCTATATAACCCTTGATGGGCATATTCTGGGTATGCAAATACTTCCTTTAAATTTTGGGTGTCGTTCAACCGATTTATTCTCAAAACCAGAAACATCTACATATAAAAAGAAGCACAGGTCACTAATTTAATAAACTTCTGAGTATTACTTCCACTAATTATAATAAACTTCACCCTTGGAATTACTTCTATCACAATTACAATACGTTCATCTGCATTGGCATTTTCTACTTTTCGATGGGAAACAATAAACTTCCCAACATTTTTTAAATGATGTAACAATTCCTCTTGTGGTTACTTTTCCATAGATATCCTCATCTCTGTCCTCATGTGAATTCAGAGGCAATAAAAATGAAAATTATTTACCATAAACATCGCAAAATAAAAACCTAATAAACAATTTTATACCGAATATAGAAATAAATTTAGTATTTTTACCTATTATCGTCCAAATCCATGTTAATAGATAATTATTATTTTTAAATATATTTTTGGAACTGCTGGTTTTAGTAGTTATTAAATTAAACGAACTAAAAAGTCTTAAAAATAAACAATTCTTAACCATAACCTCAAAAATGCAGATCTCCTGTCAACTTTCTTTATTTTTTATTTATTCATTATTTTCCTAGTGACGTCACAGGTGGTATGCGCGAACTGAACGAAATTGGAGCCGCTATCGAGCATACCTTGTATTCTTTGTACCATGACGTCTAAACGCCTTTGATGTACCGACTCGAAGCGGATGGTCGAGCGCACGAACGAACGAACGGCCGCATGCGTTCGGTCCCCGTCTAAATATACCGCACTTTCTTCGTTCGTTCGTTCGTTCGGATAATGAATACGCACCTTAAATCTGAAAGCGCACGCAGGCGAACGCCTTTGATGTACCGACTCGAAGCGGATGGTCGAGCGCACGACCGAACGAACGGCCGCATGCGTTCGGTCCCCGTCTAAATATACCGCACTTTCATTCGTTCATTCGTTCGTTCGGATAATGAATACGCACCTTAAGATTTTTGACATATTTAACATTTTCTAAATATAAAGAACAATCTTTAAATTACATACAATAAAAGCTACCTAAATTGGAATTTACCCGGTATAGCCTAATATGCAGTTAAATTAACTGTTGTGCTTTAACTCAAATTAAAACTTGATCCAAAAAGTTATACAGGGTGAGACAAAATTAATATTGAACATTGGTCACCTTTAAAAGCAAGTTACTCTTTTATTTTAAACGGAACACCCAGTATATTATTAAGAAATTCAATGGGGAATTCATGTCTCTTCAAAATACTATTAAGGTTGCTTACCCCTCAAACAAAGATTTTCCTAGATAATTTTATTTATATGATTTAGTGTCGGTAGATTTTTATTTTTTGATAAAATCTAGATGGCTGTGATATACATTTTGTTAATTTATCAAAAATTATTTCAACACAGCTGTCTAATTAGTCCAACTTTAACAACTAGTTATCCTTTTTTGTCATTTAAAATTTAAACATTTCTCAGAAATTTGCGGAAAACGCAAACTTATCCAACATCAGAGAGAATAATTGATATGATTCTATTAGTTGGTGAATGCAGTGTGTACATACCCTGTTGGTCATCCAATTTATGTAGGCTGGATTTTAATGCATGTGACAGAGAATAATATAAATGACCATATACGTATTACTTTATACAAATATACTCAGGGTTCCCTATTTAACCCCGTGTGCAATTTCTGTGCCGTAAGTAAAAGACAACATAACCCAGCTCCATATTAAAACTGCATAAGTCTATTTCACCCGGATATGGATTGAACTGCGATTGCGCCAAACTCCGATTGATTGTTGTTTTAGTTCTGTTTGGATTACTTTTTATTTGTGCGCGTAAAAGAGTGATTTTGTTTAGTTTATTGTTTCCAACTATTTTTTTATATTTTTCCAACTCCATGATAATGTGTTATAAATAATAAAAATATAAATAAAATTGAAGGTTAGGGGAAATGTCAGTCAACCACTTCCCTTTAAAAACATCGACCAATGAAAATTTCTTCAGGTGAGGCATGCTCAGTTAAATGAATATCCGGGTGAAATAGACTTATGCAGAATTCCATATTGTTCTTTCACTGTTTGGGCTTCACTTTGTGGAGATTAGGCTGAGTATATTTGTAAAAAGTAATACGTATATGTAAATGACCGGTTGACAGACAGAGACAAAATCAAAAGCGGCATACAGTGTTGCCGGTTTTTTGCGTTTGTAGGAAAATGTGTGTAGAAAAGCTATTTTAACTTTCATGTATATTACTGAAATCTATACTAATATAATATAAAATCCTTAAGTGACTGACATACTGATTAATCACGATCCCGCTCAAACCCCTCAACGTAAGAAGCTCAATTTTGGCATACAGGTTGATTCTAGGGTGTAGAGGTTCAATATGAAGGGATTTTTCGAAATTCCAGTTCCAAGAGGGTGAAACCACCCCTCAAATATTACAATATTTTTTATTTAAAAAACGGTCAAGTTTCCGAAAAAACGCTTAAACACGTATATTTTATTTTGTTTTTTTACATATTTCAAGATATTTTAAAAATGTATACAGGGTGTTTCGGAAAATCTGGCCATTGATTAATCACGATCCTGCTTAAAGCGCTTGACGTAAAAAGCTGATTTTTGGAAAACAGATTGACTTTAGGGTGTAGAGGTTCGATAAGAAGGGATTTTTCGAAACTCGAATTTTAAGGTAGTGAAACTATCCCTCAAATATTAAAATATTTTTTATTTAAAAACCGGTGAGTTTTTTTGGAAAAACTCTTAGACATGTATATTTTATGTTGTTGTTTTACATATTTTAAGATTTTTTATAAATTTATACAGGGTGTTTCATGTTCATCAAATATGACCATTGAGTAATCACGATTCTGCTTAAACTGCTTGACTTTTAAGGCTGATTTTTGGCAAACGGATTGACTGTGGGGTGTAGAGGTTCGATAAGGAGGGGTTTCTCGAATCTCAAATTCCAAGAGGGTGCAAACGCCCCTCAAATATTATAATATTTGTTATTTAAAAAACGGTTAGTCTTTCGGGAAAACGCTTGGACAAGCATAATTTACTTGGTTTTTTTACATATTTTGAAATTTTTTAAAATATCATACAGGGTATTCCAAAAAGTTGGGTAATTTCTTAACCACGATTCTGCTTAAACTGCTTGACGTAAAAAGCTTATTGTTGGCAAACGGATTTTTCGAAAGTCAAATTCCAACGAGATGAAACTACCCCTCAAATATTACCAAGTTATATAATAATATCGCCATATTGTTTTTTCTCATGCTGACATAAATGTGAGAAAATTTTATCCAGTTTGTATGGTAATGGAAATTCTTGCGTTGCTTTATCATCACCATTACAAATGATTAATTCGACGCGAACGAAGTCGCTGGTACACGCTAGTTATGACAATATATCTAAACTAAATATAATCTATTACAGCTGTAGTAAAATGAATAACCTAATGGTGAAAAATAAAGTTCCAACCCTAGATGCAACATTCTGAAATAAATGAAATTTATTTGAGTGTCTTAGACCGTTAAAAAATGTCAAGTTGCCACATTTATTTGCTTATTTCGAGACATTGTCATTCGTTTTGACACTTTAGTTTTGTATTACGAGTTTTTGATTTAAATAAATTGTGTTGAGATATTTTTAGCTTAAAAATGTTTCCTAGCAGACCTCGCAGTCGAACATTGTTCTTTTTAGAATCTCTTTTAGAGCGAAGTGTACAAGATTGATAGCCGTAAAAAAACTCATCGCAACTTTATTAGAATATTTTGAACGGGAAAGCGGTAGTAATGGCCCTTCATGTCCCTTAAGTGCCGTTAAGAAGGTGACTTTTATTGATGTAAATAATAACTGTTTATATATTTACAATTAATTTATTTTTGTTTCCTAAAATATCTTCATTCATTCAAAGAAAATATGTAAAAGTGGGCAACGCTGTGCCGACCAAGCTTAATCACGTGACTAAAAGTTTATTTGATATGATCTATATGTAGATGATAGGCTTTACTTTCGATATCTACCTGCTACGTGTCCAGTCACAAACGCAAAAACTCTCCCGAAGAACTTTTTCGCCGGGCTGTCTGGCGTTTCCGTTACGTTCATAAATTATTCAATTTCGCTTCGCATATTCTTTTATTTTCTTCTTCTTTTTCTTTCATCCTGCTTTGCTGCGTTCCTTCTTTTGCATCGTAATCGCGGAGACGTTTGTCTCGAGTGCTATTCGCCGTCTCGCAGAGAAATAAGCGTAAAAAACGCAATTACCGGCAGGTTTGCAGTTATTAACGTCACAAAGGTCAAGAACACGGTTTAAAATTCTAGTGAAGGGGCTCTTATATTTTAGCAAGTCATATTAAAGGATGGTTTTGCTTTTTTGTTGTTTTATTTGAACTGGTATCTACCTAAGATATAATGCCGGGTCCAGACCAAGGTGACAAAAAGTAAACACGATTTTGACACAAAAACAAGACAAACTTGCGACAAAAAATGGGGAATTCTGACAAGACAAACTTGAGACAAATTGTCCACACCGCAAGGACAAAAGTACAACAAAGTCAAAAGTTTAGTTATTGCGAATGAGTTTTATTAACCATGTGTGATTTCACTGGTCTCCTACTGTTGGCAGCACACGCCATCCACACTGCATCGACAACTTGTCGCAAAATATACGAACAAAACACAGACATTTTCATCTTTACCGACTCAAGACGGGACATTGAAAAGTCTCCGAATTTTGAAACAAAACAAAAATGAGATAAAAATGTCGCAGAAATGTGTTGCATTTGTCGGAATTTTGTCGTAAAACATGAATGTTTTTGTCATGTCGTTGTTTTGTCTGCTTGGTCTGGACCCGGCATTAGAGCCTAAATGGATATGAAAATTCGCGTCATCCCTGTTGGAAACATACCATGACATGGCATATGTCATTTTACGAAATACATATGTCATTTTTAAGAAATAAATTAAAATTTTAAGCCGGAAATCTTATAGCCTACTTGGATAAGAAAATCCGCGTCATGCCTCAACTGATTCTTTCTTTTTTGTATACAGGGTGTTTGTCAAAAGTGACTCACCTCTATAACTTTTTATTCTTGAGATAAAAGAAAACGAGATTTGGTATGTTAGTATATATGACATAAATTAGGATTGACTGGCGTATTCAATTATTTTCGATCACTTCCTCTTTTACCAGAAATAACTACAACTTTTGATTTTTAAATGGTACCCTCGGTATTTTTTTACATTATTCCATAGAAAATGACACTTTGAATAGAATGACATATCATGTGTCAACTTTGGACGTTTTCTTCCGCTTAAAAAAATTATATTTTAAATTTCAATCTAATAGAGTGCCATGGCTGTGTTAAAAACACTAATTTTTATAATCAAGGAGCTTTGGAAAAATAGATTGATCGTCTAATGTTTTTCGTGTCTTGTCCTGGCCGGTTGAAAGATGCCCAAATTATATTTTTAATCATATCTCAATTTTCTCAAATGGAACAATGCTCATTAGCATATTTGGAAAAAAGTAAAAAAATACCGAGGGTGTTTAAAAATCAAAAGTTGTAGTCATTTCCATTGAAACAGGAAGTGACCGAAAACAACTTTTGAGAAACACCCGGTATGTCATTTTTAATAATTTTTTTCAGTAATTTAATAATAAAGATCTACTTGAAAGGTTCTAATTGTAAATAATTCTACTTACATGGTATGGTTTTAGAGTTTTGTATTCTTTGAAGGTCAGTTCCCTGTCCAGCAAAAACTCGACTGGCTGAAGGTTGTTGGGGATTTCTACGTTGGAAACGATGGGCATAAAAGTCTGAAAATGAAACAATAAAGTTAAAAAAGTGATTATTGATTTTGTCAAGTAAAATTATTGTTTTCCCAAAATGTATAAGTATATGACTTATATGTATATACTATAATTATTCATAAACATATATAAAAGACAGATTAACCATAATATAGGTTTTTGTTTTGGGATAGATTAACCTACATTGGTTTTTTTGACTCTACATATACAAGCAAAATGTTAATAAGCCGTTTGTTTTTTTACGGTATGATTTGACTACAGACATGAATATACTTAATCCTTTCGTCAAAATTATTTTGAAGTAGTTTTCTTCAAAAAAAATTCTTGGTGAATGAAAATTGGTGAATGGTAATTGTTTTTATTTTTGTTAAAAATTCCACAAATCGTGCACTTTTACCTTAGAATGTTTGTCTTACTGAGATAAAAAGATAACATCACAATGTCCAAGCACCCAGCACAGATTTTTCACAAAAAAACACGTAACATGAAACTTCAAAATGTAAACAAAGCAAAAGCTCCAATGTAAATAAACAACTGTGATCAAACTGAATTTTGAAAGCTGAAAACAGATATCTACACTAATATATAAAATCCTTAAGTGACTGACTCACTGATTAATCACGATCCTGCTCAAACCACCCAACGTAAGAAGCTCAGTTTTGGCATACAGGTTGATTCTAGGGTGTAGAGGTTCGATAAGAAGGGTTTTTTCGAAATTCCAGTTCCAAGGGGGTGAAACCACCCCTCAAATATTACAATATTTTTTATTTAAAAAACGGTCAAGTTTCCGAAAAAACGCTTAAACACGTATATTTTATTTTGTTTTTTACATATTTTAAGATTTTTTAAAAATGTATACAGGGTGTTTCGAAAAATCTGGTCATTAATCACGACCCTGGTTAAAGCGCTTGACGTAACAAGCTGATTTTTGGGAAACGGATTGACTTTAGGGTGTAGAGGTTCGATAAGAAGGGATTTTTCGAAACTCGAATTCTAAGGGGGTGAAACCACCCCTCAAATATTAGAATATTTTTTGTTTAAAAACCGGTTAGTTTTTAGGAAAAACTCTTAAACACGTATATTTTATTTTGTTGTTTTACATATTTTAGATTTTTTAAAAATTTATACAGGGCGTTTCATAACATATGAGCAGAATCGTGATTACTCAATGCACGATTCTGCTTAAACTGCTTGACGTTTAAAGCTGATATTTGACAAACGGATTGACTGTGGGGTGTAGAGGTTCGATAAGGAGGGGTTTCTCGAATCTCAAATTCCAAGAGGGTAAAAACGCCCCTCATATATTACAATATTCGTTATTTAAAAAACAGTTAGTCTTTCGGGAAACGCTTGGACATGCATAATTTATTTTGTTTTTTTTACATATTTTGAAATTTTTTAAAAAATCATACAGGGTGTTGTAAAAAGTTGGGTAATTGATTAACCACGATTCTGCTTAAACTGCTTGATGTAAAAAGCTTATTTTTGGCAAACGGATTTTTCGAAAGTCAAATTCCAACGAGATGAAACTACCCCTCAAATATTACCTAGTTATATAATAATATCGCCATACTGTTTTTTCTCATGCTGACATAAATGTGAGAAAATTTTATCCAGTTTGTATGTTAATGGAAAATCTTGCTTTGCTTTATCATCACCATTACAAATAATTAATTCGACGCGAACGCAGTCGCGGGTACACGCTAGTTTAAGTGTAAAATTAATTCGAACTCTAGTGTGTAGTTGGTTTACTTATGAAGAATATACTACACATTTTCTTATATTGCTATTTTTTGACCGCAAATGGTAAAATCATAACTAAGAGCTTCTCGCCCGTCGAGTGAGATGCACCCTGTACACTGCTACGCAATTCAGGGTCTACGCGTATCGAGGGGCAGGGCATAGGTAGATCGCTGATATTTCAACACTATTTTTACATATTTTTATCAAATTTAAACCACCAGAGTTACCTATCCTCTTAAATATATCTCTGTTTTCTATTACTTTCTCAGACGTACATTCGTTTTTATTATCGATATAAGAGAAACTCAAATCCCGCCCTAGAAACCATATTGTCTTCTTTCTCAAGAAAGGATTTATGTCACTCGATCATCCCCCCACCCCACCGAGCCCCTGTCAGATGAAAGCCAGGCCATTTAAACGTTTTGCGAGCTCAATTCGAAGGTCGCCTATCGATCAGAGTAATCTGCGTAGGCTTGGAACGGATTCTGGCTAGTCGTTTGTTTATTTATGACACGGCCATTACTCGTGTGCCTCCAGTGGTAAAAGCCGGCTTGAAACGGTAACTCGAAACCGCAACAGAAGACTTATTTTTCAGAACCAGAAAAAAGATATTATAAGATTGTTATAATTATTTCATAAATTGACAGATTATTAATAATATAATCTAACAAAGATATATTGATAAATAATGAAATAACATCATTAATATAACATTACCCGCTTCCTCGACTGACTGTCTTTAATTTTGAAATTTACACAACGTTTCAGTCAGATATATAAATATGTGGGCAAAGATTGTACGAGTCGTTTATTTGAACGAGTGTTAAAAATGAATCGTGAGATTCGATTCACCGCTTAGAATACGGTTTGTTCAATTGAATTGTGGCTAGCACGGTGTTGTATTATTGTTCAGAACACAGAGACTCGGCTTGAAAATAAACTAGAAGTAAATTCTAAACTTAAAACTTTTATTGAAAATCAGATGCATCATTTCACATCACAATACGATACGTTCGTTTCTACGGCTCGTTCGTTTAAAGAGTCATAAGGACTGATTCATTGCTTACAATAAGGTTCGTTCAATTGAATCGTGGCCAGCAAGGATCCATAAAATTTGAACGATGAGCCGTAAAAAAATCGTTCGTTTCTACGGCTCGTTCGTTCAGAGAGTTGTGAGAATTGATTCATTGCTTACAATACGGTTCGTTTAAATGAATCGTGGCTAGCACGGATCCATAAAATTTGAACGATGAGCCGTAAAAAGGAGTCGTAAGAATTGAATCGGATTACAATGCGACTCGTTCGTTTCTACGGCTCGTTCGTTCAAAGAGTTGTGAGAATTGATTCATTGCTTACAAAACGGTTCGTTTAATTGAATCGTTGCTAGCACGGATCCATAAAATTTGAACGATGAGCCGTAAAAAGGAGTCGTAAGAATTGAATCGGATCACAATGCGACACGTTCGTTTCTACGGCTCGTTCGTTCAAAGAGTTGAGAATTGATTCATTGCTTATACAATACGGTTCGTTTATTGAATCGTGGCTAGCACGGATTCATAAAATTTGAACGATGAGCCGTAAAAATTGAATCGGATCACAATGCGACTCGTTCGTCCCTACGGCTCGTTCGTTCAAAGAGTTGTGAGAATTGATTCATTGCTTACAATACGGTTCGTTTAATTGAATCGTGGCTAGCACGGATCCATAAAATTTGAACGATGAGCCGTAAAAAAGAGTCGTAAGAATTGAATCGGATCACAATGCGACTCGTTCGTTTCTACGGCTCGTTCGTTCAAAGAGTTGTGAGAATTGATTCATTGCTTACAATGCGGTTCGTTTAATTGAATCGTGGCTAGCACGGATCCATAAAATTTGAACGATGAGCCGTAAAAAGGAGTCGTAAGAATTGAATCGGATCACAATGCGACTCGTTCGTTTCTACGGCTCGTTCGTTCAAAGAGTTGTGAGAATTGATTCATTGCTTACAATGCGGTTCGTTTAATTGAATCGTGGCTAGCACGGATCCATAAAATTTGAGCGATGAGCCGTAAAAAGGAGTCGTAAGAATTGAATCGGATCACAATGCGACTCGTTCGTTTCTACGGCTCGTTCGTTCAAAGCGTTGTGAGAATTGAGTCATTGCTTACAATACGGTTCGTTCAAATGAATCGTGGCTAGCACGGATCCATAAAATTTGAACGATGAGCAGTAAAAAAGAGTCGTAAGAATTGAATCGGATCACAATGCGACTCGTTCGTTCAAAGCTGGCTCAAGTTTCATTGGCTCAAGCTTCTATTGACTGCTTTTTTTCTGTATTAATTGAAATCCATCCTTTTCGAGTTTTTCAACTTTAGAATTGCTGAAATCAGGGCTACTTTAGTTTAGCTGAAATCAGTTATGTAAAATATTTGTTTTTATTATATTGCAAGCCTTTCCAAATAGTAAGTCACGAAAATGTTTCTGTGGAAATGCATAATTTTCAGGTTTTTAACTTTAGAATCGGCGAAACAAGTTACATGAAAACACGTTTCTGTTGTTCATTCTAGAAATTTTTCTAAACATGGACACAAGTTTTTTTGCTTCTTGCGGAAGCCTACCATTTTCATTTATTAATAAAATATTGTAAAAAATAGCAAGATTTGAAAAGCACTCAGGTTGCTTTGGTTAGGTTTATTTTGATTTGGTTTGGTTTGTTGGTTCATTTTTATTTATTTTCGTTTTTTCTTGGTACTTTATTGATGTCTAAGGGTGCGTTTATGTTGGAGCGGCGATAAACGATAAGAGCAGCAATAGTAGCGAAGCAAAGAATATTATTATATCAATTTATATGTAGGTGTTTATATTGGAGCAACGCGTCGAGACACGCTTGGCAGTTGAGCAACGATAAGAGCAGCGCTAATTCACTGCTTTTATCGTTTATCGCAGCTCCTACATAAACGTACCCTAAATTACAATATCTACTAGGTTTAGTTCATACCTTCACAAGAAAAGTGCATAAAATGTAAAGCAGGAACATGTTTTCATGTAACTGATTTCAGTTATTCTAAAGTCGGAAAAAGTAGAATGATGCATTTCCCCAGAGAAATATTTATGATTTTGTATCTGAGTAGGCTTCTATATACTGGATGTTTAGTTGTTTTTTATAAGCGATTTCAAGTAAAAAAAAACTCACCCGATTGATTTGTGAGATTGAAAAGTCTGTTTTGTTATTTTCATGTATAAAGAGTTTACTTGCCAATAACGAACTAAATGGATATTTGAGTGAATTTGCATTGTGATATCTGCTTGAGTAAGCTCCGTGGGTCTTAAGGTATGTAATTTAAGCCAATATTCTCCGTTTTTCCTGCAATCAGATACATATAATACTGACAATCACCTGCGCTAATAAATTATTCAGCGTAGGCACATAAAAATCAAAAATAACTCTGCCTAAATTCATTTGAATTTTTGCCGCCATCGCATCAGTTTGAAACTGGATTTCAACCGGTCCCCCAGCGCTATTCATAAACCTGTCAGCGCGGCCAACTTATCGCTGTGACCCGTTTATTTATTTACTTTTTTTTCTGGTCGTTTTGTTGAGCCAACCAAGGCCGTCCCACGCTCATAAATAATGCAGAATGCGAGGCGAGTGCGATGGTGCAGCAACGTGCCACCGATAGAATTTTAATTTATTTTCGTTGTTCTGTTATATTTCGGGAAGAAACGTGGAACGTCTCCAGGGTGGGCAGGATCAAAAGCTGAGACAAATAATATAGACAAAACTGAATATGTACAAAACGAAGATATGCAAACCTGATGAAACAGAAAGATAATGCTCTATTGGGCAAAACAAATCAATGTAGGGACTGTTGAGCCATCATTCACCGTTACTTCATCATTATTTGTCAAATACCTAGATCATTATATACTTACGTGGATAAATCAACGCCATAAGTTTAGCATTAAAAAATAAGTCTCCAACATCACGACATACCATTTAAAAACATTCTTTATTGCACGTTCAATAGGTTTGTCTTTTCCGAGGACCTACTATTGACCCTACTTTTTGTACGGTTTAGAAAGTTAACAAATTATACACTGTTATGGAAACCAACTTTTCATTGTTATCATATGTCATATGTCATAATCTTATTTCCATTGTGTAACGACGCTTGTTTTTTGCGTTTTTTATTTTAAAAATTGTATTAATTACTCTTTGATCGACCGCTTTTTTATAGCCAAGGATGCAAGTGTGTTCAGTGAGAAATTAATTTTAAGTTTGCGTAATTATATTTCTATTTTTTTTCGTTGGACTCTCTAAATACTCGTAAAAATGACTAGAAAGTATTTGATGTGTGGAAGTTCTAATAGCTTTTTTTCGTTTTCATGTTATTACCGATTCTGAACCGTCCTAGGCCCGTATTTATAGTTGCGTCTCGAGACGCCAAGACGGACTTGGGCTCTTGAGAGCGGAATCCACAGAATACACGAGCAAAGACATGGAAGACGTTTTTTCCAAGTCCCAAATAGCCTTTCAACATTTCGCGTTCTTCTATGGGCAGAGTTATACCTGGTTTCTTGTTGATTACCTAGCTGTAGAACAGGAGTCAATAGAAATGGCCTACATCTATATGCATTGTCTCCAAGAACTAAACCAGGAATATCACTCCTTTCCATTAGCACTCTTAAATTACTTGGATCGAATATAACACTATCATGACTTGACCCTGGATATCCAACTATAATATCCATAATTTCCCTTTTGGGACCTGAACATTTAGACTAAAAAAACTTCTGCAATTTTGAAATACTTCCACATTATTGCATTATTCTTGATTATCTGGCTTATTGTAGGTTGGCTAACACCACACAAGTCTCCATTTACCATCTGAAAATTACAAGTCGTATAAAACTGTAAACAAATTAGTAATTGAATAACGGGGAGAATGGGTAAACCACGATTGGTAGGTTTTTGCAAGTCTTCAATTTATAAGAGGTAAAAAAGTTTCTGTAATTGTAGCCTTGTTAAACCTATATCGGCATAAATCCCCCCTCGCTAAACATTTCTATTGGATTTCCTGCATCCCGTATATATCTTTTTGGAACTCGAAGAAGATTTTCTTCTTCCACATGGTCCAAAATATCCTCAAACTCTTCTAACATATTCAAAACTGTTTAATCAGACAAAACGGATTTACAAGGGATTTACTTTGTTTACAAAAAAAGTTCGGTCAGAGGTTCGGTTATGAAACTATCCAAAATGACAATCTCCAAAATGAAAATCGCAATCTCCAAAATGACGTTTGCTCGTGTATTCTGTGGATTCCGCTCTCAAAAGCCCAAGACCGTCTTGGCATCTCGAGACGCAACTATAAATACGGGCCTGAATACGCAAATGAAATAATGTCTTCCTATTTCCTTCTGCGCATACGCATCACAGTTCTAGGACGGTTCAGAATCGGTAATAACAGGAAAACGAAAAAAGCTAATATAAAAGGTTCCTTTTAATTCCAATCCTTCGGACTGTTGAAATTCCTATTTCTAAAGCATCAGCAACTCGCTATATTATTAAAAAACGTTATCAATTTGTATTATACATAGGAATATCACATTTTTGCATTGTACTTACTTCATATACGGCGTCCACGGGCAAGAGTGTTCTACCAGCGCAGCGTCTCTTTCTCGAGAAAAATAATTTATAAACTTAGCAATGAGCTCTTGTTCATTTTGTTTAAATTTTCGAGGCATTTTTGCAACAAAAAAATTTTAATTTTGACATTGATCGATGTCCGTCAATAAAATTATAACCCCAAATCAAATGACAATGCCAATTACTAAAAAGAATATGCAATAATTTACGAAATGCCGTAATGACGTCATCAATCTTTTTCATCTGGTTGGCAAATGATTGAGAGTTCGACAATATATGACGTGATGTTGAAGGATGGCTGTATTCTATAGGTATATGGTTAGTGTATCTATTATAGGTAGGTAAACGTCTATGATCAAAACAGCTTCATGACCAATCAACCATTTTTAGTTTAAATAAAAAATAGATAAATAGAATATGTATATGCACTTACCAAAGCAGGCCAAATAACAGTGCCGTGACTGTACGGATCTTTTCTATCGGCCCATACCAAAGCCTGTTCGACCAAGAAGATATGAAACAGGTTATGGTAGACTGTGATCCATTCACGTCTTTGCCATTCTACGTCATCATATTCGACCAAAACCTGGAAAGAAAAAAAATAATCGAATTAAAACAGAATAAAATAATTTTTGGTATAATTATATATTGAGTCAGTTTTATATCCTATAATAATAAATAAATTTCATGCAATTTGAGGTCGCTATTAAGTCAGTTCTAGCCAAGTTTACAGCTGGGCTAGTCTGTATACTACTATACTGACTATACTGTATTTTTATTTTTTATATAAAAAATAAAAAATTTTCGAGGGATTTTGCAGAGTAACGTTCTGAAGCAAATCGGTTTTAATATTACTTGGTTCAGAATTCAGAGATTCTTGGTCACTCCATATGGTGATTGCTTAATAACGTAATGTTTTAACTCTACCTCTTTTGGTTGCTTCAGAATGGTTCGACTGAGAATTTAAATTGTCTCGAATGTGTAAGCAAAAATAAATAAAGACAATGGAAGTCCGAAATTCTTTTAGTTTCAGACATTTTTTATTATGTTGTTTTAACCTCAAAAGAGCACCACAGGAAGGTTCTCCGCCTTTCAGTTTTCTATTTTTTCCTTATTATTAGAAAGAAAGGTTCATATCTTGGTATCTACTATCTGGAAAAAATATCTCGTCTCATATATTTGTAGGAAATTGAATTCTCTACAAAAAAAGTATCGTAAAATTCTTTTGTAAACCTCACCGTTTGAAAGTCATTAAGGTTGAAAGTTCAAACTTGATTATTTTAAGGCAGTTTTCTTTTTTATTTTAACTCGTTAACAAAAAATCATTATGATACGTGCAACTCATGGTTTTGTAGGAAATTCACTGTTCTATAAAAATGGTTTCTTATGATTAGTCGATTAAATTAACCGTTTAAAAGATATTCATCGTCAAACTTCAATGCACAATAATTTTAACAGTTTTTGATTAATAACCTAACCTAACTAACTCCAATCCAATTATATCTCAGTTGATAATTCAATAAAAAAGACTTTTTGATAAAAAAATGATTTTTTTTTCTTCTAGATCAATACTTTTTATATTAAGCCGGCACAGTCTTCCGGTCAGTTGTCGGTAAATGAGGCACACGTCAAAGGATGAACGAGCATCGCAGGTTTGACTTGTCTGAACTTGTTGAATCATTTTCTACCATTCCCACGTAGGGTTGCATTAAACAAAAATGTTTTGCAGTCTCAGTAGCGTTCTACATACCGTCGCAGAATAGTCGTTGAGATAGGTGTATTTTTTGCAAATTAAGTTTCTCATTTATTTATTTTTTGAAGAATGGAGTGGTCAAATGAACTGGTTATAGAATTTTTGGAACTTTACGAAGGAGAACCAGCAATTTGGAATCCAAAAGACCCAAACCATAAAAATAGAAATATTGTCCATGATAGTTGGAAAAGAATTGAAACTAATTTAAGTGTCAAATACACGGTGGTGGAACTTAAATAGAAAAAAAAGAACTGCCACAAATATACACTGCACTGTTTTCACTACTATGCAACTTGACAAGTCCAGTCGACGGTCGCGCGCAAATTTACTCTCGCATACTGAAATATTTATTTATAAAAATCATAACAAAACATCGCAAAACACAAAATGCGGAGTTATTCTTCAAATTAAAAAATAAATTAAGGTTAAATTTGTACAAAAAAATTATTTTTCGAGCAAGAATCGAGCAAGAGGCATATCTTTATCGCTGTCATCAACATCACACTCAATAACATCTTCTTGACAGTCTACTTCCTCAAAATCTTCAATAGTATCGGAAATAAAAATTGATCTATTGCCGTTTCCTATTTTCTTCAGCAAGTTTTCATTGTGGGATACATAGAGTAGCTTAGCGGCTCTATCATTAGTAAGCCTGTTTCTCTTTTTTGAATGAATATGACTATAAACGCTAAAACTGCGTTCCGTGGCAGCCGAAGATGCTAGGATCATCAACATTCGTGAAGCTACTTGTGATAATGCAGATGAAGAACACAGTCCTTTCCACCAGGAGACTGGGTTATCAAAACTACTTTTCCTTATGAAGTTACTTCCAAATAACTTGCCACTTCTACAACGGTAATATGCTATTTCATTTATTATTTCTTGCTCCTTTATATTGAGTTTATTTTTGGATATATTAAGTATGCATTCTATGGCAGAAAGAATTTGGGTTTCATCAAGTTCAGAACCTTGTGATTTTGGATTTAGTAATTCTGCAGCATAATGAATGGGTTTAATAGCAATTTTTTTTCTTTTGTCAACAAACTCCAACAATTCGGATTATTCTTTGTCGTCAAGTGAGGACAATGCAAGATTATTCTGAATTACCCTTCTAATATCACAAAATGCTTTTACAGCAAAATGAATAGTGCTATAATCTCCTTCTACAATTTTTAACCATTTGCCAATAGGTTCAAAAATGTTAATTACGTTGGAAATTTGGGCCCAAAATACTTCGTCATCTAATATCCACTGCTTAACATTTTTATCAATCATTTGTGTTGCTTCTTGACTAACTGCAACTCCTTGTAAACTGAGCCTAGTATTGTATACACTTTTTAAATTGGTCAAAATTGAAGATTCCCCGTAGAAATGCGAGGTTGCAAATAAGTTGGTGAATCCTCAAACTCGATATATTCACCATATTATATGTTTGTAAAACTGTTCTATGTATAGTAAGTTTAATGTTTATAGGGTTACAAAATATGAAAGATATATTAATAAACATCGGGTTTGAATCGTTAATGACAAGATTTAAGTTTTTTAAAAATATTTCCATTATTCCCAATATTTCCAATATTTCCGAGACACGTTTGGAAATTTCCAATATTTCCATTTACAACACTAGTTGCGTGTATCATAATGATTTTTTGTTAACGAGTTATAAAATTCATAAGAAAAAAGAAAACTGCCTTAAAATAATCAAACTTCAATCTTTAATAACTTTCGGACAGTGAGGTTTACGAAAAAATTGTAAGAGACCTTTTTTGTAAAAAAATCAATTTCCTACAAACATATGAGACGAGATTTTTTCCAAATGGTATCTAGATACCGAGATATGATTTTTTCTTTCTAATAATAAGGAAAAAAAATCTTCCTATTAAAATTAAGAGCTCATACTTGGAGAGCATTTTTTGAGCTGTCTACCAACCATAGATTTAGGAAGAACAGATATCACATTATCCATTTTAACCCGATCAAACATTCGGAGGTTGACTACGTACTGTAAAAACCAACTGAGATAGAGAAGGCGACATTGCCACATATCAAATTTGCGCCTATCTACTTAGTTTGATTTGCAGAAAAGGTGACTTTAAAACCTTCACCGGATATCACTAAATCTCAATTTCTTAATTAAATTAATAGTTTATTTTTAAAGAAGCATGCGTAATAATATGTTATTAACCAGAGGATATATGCGTTACTATTAAAGGACATGTTTACTGTTTAATGTGCTGAAACGTCTAGAACTATTGGCATCGTCGCTGCTAGTCTTCCAGAATGAAATGAGCCGTCCGTCCCACCACCCCTCGCGACGACCAATGGTCCGTTATAGCGTCCTACGTCTAGCTTACGGTGTGTTTGAAGTCGGAATCAAGTCCGAAGTGAACTTTTCAGTGTTTTTCAGTAGATTTTGTTTTTGTTTAATGTACTTTTGAATCTGCGAATTTTCAATATGGTACGACAGTGTCAAATGTGTGGACAAATAAGCTCAAATTACCCGAATTTGTCTTTTCACACGTAGGTATTGTTTCCGCCGCGCCGTAATCGTACATAGGCGTCCCACAAGGGAGCCTCTCACAATTAAAATAATTTCTAATTATATTTGTTGAATTTTGATCTATTAAAACAAGAACGTAGTAGCCGGTAATTGAATTATAATTCATCTCAATTACTACCTAACTGTTGTAGATCATAACAAATTTGAATATAAACGTTACATTTGAAACTTTATTATAAGCCAGAAAGTGACATTTTTTTTTCTTAAAATTGCGTCCTATTTTGGTCATTATATATACGATATTCTAAAGGAATTTTGCTCAACAAATAAACAAAGGTGTTTACCCGACCTTTTTTACATTTTATTGCTTTATTATATCTGCCCCTTCGGCCTTGTTTAGACAATTTTTTACCACAAATACATCTTCCTAGAGTTATTTGTACGGTGTGTTTAACTTTTTTTAGAATGTGACGAACTGTAAATAATTCTTAGGCTACTAGTTTTATACATATCTATATAGAGAGTGACCCAGGCCTGCAAAAAATCTTTTTAGCTATTACGTTTTTGGTTTGTGATTTTTATTTCAATTTTTTACATAAGATGGGGGCCATTGTAACGCACATTTTCAAAATATTTTTGTCAACATACAGGGTGATTCAAACCGCAATACATATGCTTAATACAGTTCATGAAGATTAGGACATTTAACTAAAATTTGATTATCTGATGAAGCTACCTTTAAAAGTAATGGATTTGTAAATAAACGTAATAGGTATTCATTATTATGCGACAGAAATCCCATACTGTAGCACACAGATTTTATACTTTTAATGATAAATGGCTTCTATTGCGAGACTAAAAGGCAATTGCCTCGTATCAGAACCATCATAATACAAGAAGAAGACCGAAAGTCAAATCTTGTCTTATATTTTCAAAAAAAAAACACAATTTTCTCATTAAATATTGATTTTAGGTATAGGAAGTTATTAATAATACAAGATTAAACAATTATTACACAGTACTTCACAGGAAGCTATCGATTGCGAACTAACTAAATCGTTACTAATTAGGTACTAATTTTGAAAAGTTCTTTTTAAGATAAAAAAAAAGGTAAAACTAAAACCTAAACTATCATTTGAGATTAAACGGGAAGTTCTAAATAATATTGCCTATTCTAAACAAGAAAAATTTATTTATAAGTTAAGTTTTATAACATTCCTAATTAAATTTGGGCGAAAAGAATATTTCTGTTTGCTGTAGGTAATTTTGTCACGGAAAATACGTAAATAAAAATGACTTTTTAAGTCAAAAAAAGTCAAAAGGACAAGTTATT